TCTCAAACACTCTAGCCAAATCCCAATACTCGGGGGGAATGGTTAACAGCTCCTCCTGAGCTAGGCACACATGAGGACCCTCTGCTATTGGCTGTTGGCCCCATTCCGGGTCTCACCGGTGGCTCTGGCACTTAGGAGAAATGAACTGTATTTTTCCTTCATCCCACAAGATGTATGGGTTGTGTCCGTGCAACCATGGGGCCCCAAGGACTAAGAGGAACCTGGCGGTTGAGGTGATCACAAATGCTCTATTCTCCCAGTGTTCCCTCGCCCCAATTCGCAATGGGACAGTCTTGTACTCACACGGGTCCTTCATTGTAGAGCCATCCATTTGGGTAAATATCAGGGCGTCTTTTAATTTTACCACCCTCGCCTCCAACCCCGTAACCAGGGAGGGGTTGATAAGGTCCCTCCCGCACCCCGAGTCAATTAGGGCTCTCACCCATATATGCGTGCCAAGGCTGGGGTAAATCAAAGGCACAGTCACGTAAAAGAGGGAGGGAAAACTGCTCACCACATTAGGCGCCTCCGGGATCGGGCCCTGCTGCTCCGCGCCTCTTACAACAGGACCAATCCGTTTTCTGCTGGCTCGGGGTCATCTTCGCTGGAGTCCGCCTCTCCTTCTTCGGGAGCTGCCTGCAGAGCTTTGGCATATTTTGGCTTCTTCGCCGGCGTGGCGGGCGCACTTTTGCTGGTTCACCGGGCCCCTGTTTCCTGGGCCCTGATCCGCCGCAGTCGGCCGTGAAATGGCCCCGCTCCCCACATTTCAGACAGAGCCCTTGCTGCATATGCTGCTCTCGAGCCGATTCCACTGGCCGCGGCGGTTTTCCCTTCATCGCTTGAGGGGTTAGCCGACCTGCCGTCGCAATGTCCATACGTAGGGTGTGCCGGTGAGTTTCCGCACTCTCCGCTTCTTGCATCCAGGCTGGGAGGGAGACGGGATTCACAATCCTCAAGACCATCTCCCGAATCTCGGTATTCAGCCCCACTCTGTATAGTTCTGCCAACACAGGATGAGGCCAGGTTTGCACTTTGGCTGTGTGTAGCTTAAATTCAGAAGAGTATTCTCTCACCGATCACTTTCCCTGCTTAAGGGTGCGCAGGAACACCCTCGCTTTTGGTCCGGCATTCCGATCCTCGAATTGGGCTCACAACGCCCACATAAAAGCATCCAAATTCATCAGCTCTGGACCTTGGGCATTGTGCAGCCCCACATACCAGGCCGCCGCCGGTTCCCGGAGCTGATCTTTCCACAAACTTCATCACCCGGACCACAAAGTAGGAGAGTTCTTCCGGGTTCCCATCAAAGGTGGCTTCGATGAGGTCTTTCGGACGCGGTACCACCCATTCTCTCGGACTGCCAGGACATGGTGCTGGCACTGGGACCTCCGGCTGACCCGGCTGCAGGGCTTCCCCCGGCTGGGGCAACTGCTGCGGCGGGGCCGGCGGAAAAACCGGTCCTACGGGAACCACCGGTCGGACCTCCCTCTCCTCTCCTCTCGGATGGCTTGGACCACCAGCTGCGGAATCGCCTGGATCACCTCTTCCAGGGTTCGCTGCATTTGCTTTCTCTCCTGGTTCGCCACCTCCATCCTGTGGGCCAGTTCCAGACCCTCCTCAGGGGACACCTGAGCACCCTCTTAAACAAGTGTTTGTGTAACACTTCGTTTATCAAGTTCATGAAGACTCCCGGGGCCCCAGCAAGCCTAAATGGCATAAGCAAGTATTCAAACTGCCCAAGTGGGGTATTGAAAGCCGTTTTGTGTTCATCCCCCTCCCGAATGTGGACCCAATAGTAGGCATCCTGTAAATCCAGTTTGGTGAAGATTTTCCCCCGGGAAGCCTCTGCCAAGAGATCTTTAATCAAAGGGAGGGGGTAAGCGTTAGACATGGACACAGTGTTTAACCCCCAGTAGTCAGTGCACAGTCTCAGGCCCTGTCTTTCTTTTTCCAGAAGAGGATGGGGCAGCAAAGGGGAAGGAAGCTGGCCAGATGAAGCCTTGGGCGAAGTTTTTGTCAGTGAATTTGTGTAACTCCTTCTCGACTGGGCTGATCGCATATAATTTCCCCTTAGGCATACTGTGCCCTGGTAAAATCTCTATGGCACAGTCTGTTTTGCGGTGTATGTGGGAGCTCATCTGTTTCTTCTTCTTCTTTGAACACCCATGCCAGATCCCTATATTCTTTGGGGATGGAGTTGAGCTCCTCTTGGCCTAGGCATATCCACTTCGGCATGGAGGACGCCGCCTCCCCCCACTCGGGCTTCCATCCATGGCACTTACTTCAGGGGTCAGGGAAGTGCAACATGCCAGTACTCCACTGTACATAGGGGTCTTGGTCTCACAGCCAAGGGTTCCCTAGAACCATCGAGATCTGGGCCATCAGATTAATTACAAAGGCCCAGGTGCTTTCAGACCTGCTGGGTTGCGCCCTTCACAGCAGGTCCCAGCCTTTTCCCTGCGGCTGAGTGGCTTCATCTCCGCTTGAGGAAGCCTCGTCTGGGCTTCCCCCCACGTCAGCCTGGAGGGCCCTTGGCTGCTTGGGATGCGTTCCCCCCAGCTTCATCTGTGCCCCAGAGCTGCACCTCTCAGAGGTCTTCTCCTCCTGTGGTTTGAGGTCAGTGGGGCAGTTTGTGGTGAAGTGGCTAGGCTTTCTGCATCTCAAGCATACACTTTGCTTCATCCTCTGGTCTCGCATGGAGTCTCTGGCCTTGGGGTTGGTGCATCTTGATTAGGGCCATCCGGTTTTCAACTTCACTGGCATCTCTGATCCATCCACTGAGAGTCAGAGGGTTCCTTTGCCCTAGTACCTTCTCCAGGATGGCATGGGTCAGTCCCACTCGGTAGTGCTCGATGAGGACTCCTTTAGGCCATCCCAGCACCTTTGCTGTGTACATTTTGAACTCATTGGAATATTTATTTATTTATTATATTTTTATCCCGCTCTCCCTGCGAACAGGCTCAGGACGGCTAACAAACAAGGGCACCATGTGTCAAGTATAAAACATTAAAACACATAAAAACAACCATTTTATCAAAATTAAAGTGCTCAGTGATGTTAATATTAATCATTTAGTCGAATAAATTAAATTAAGATGGTGATCAGTGATGTTCCTCAAGCCCAAATCGGCAGTACTGCTCCATCCGCACTGTCTGGTTCCGCTGCCGTATATAGGTACCGGTAACATCTGATTGCTCCAGGGTTCTGACAGCTGGTTCCCCACTCAAGCAGCTGAAGTGGTTGCTTGGGGCACCAAATTGGCAGCAGGTGGCACTGTGGGAGGATGTGATGGGCGTGGCTTGTGATGGTGAGCTCCTCCCTGCTGTCACAGCAACCCGGTGGTGATGCCTGAGGCCCAGCTCAGGCGAGACAGGAAGAGGATGCTTGGTGTGTTTTGAGCTGGTCTTGCATAGCAGTCCTTTGTATCAACCCCTGGTGCCAGGCTTTGTTGTGAGCTTCCATGCCCCCACTTTGGGTATCCAGTCATGCAGCTGAATCACAGGCACTCACTTCTGTGCCCCCATCCTGAATGGTTCAAATCCAGCCAGTGCTGCTTGTTCTTATGGTGTCTTCTGTTCTGGCTTTTTGAATGAAGAGAGAGAAGACACGACAGTCTTCTCTGCAACCCTGTTGATCCAGTTGCTATGGAGTCCAGTTGTGGTGACCGGGTCACTTGTCAAGTAGCAATTGATCTTGAAGTGCTTCCCCACTATGTCAGAGGAATATCTGTGATGCTACAAAGATTAGACAAGCCCTCTTTGTGGCTATGGTGGAAGGGACTGGCCTCATTCCTTTGATCTTGAGTGATGGCAACCACCATACCTCCATAGTGCATTTTCCCTAGTTTTTGGTGGGATGGTGGAAATAAGTATTTCTTTGAATTTGATCAGGACTGGAATGAATCTCAGAGATCATGCCCCTGTCTCTTCACCATGACAGCCACAGTAATAACGAGCAGCTCTTTATGTCAGACCAAGTGGACTTTTTGATCCACCTGTTTCACCAGGTAGCAGCATGAACAATACTTTAGATTTTCCTCTTCCACCTCAATGTTGGTGTACAGCATGATCTTTTGACTTTTGAGATATTGTCGGTACCTGTTATTTGGGTGACTATATGTGGACTACAGAAAGACCACAAAGACAGACAGGTTGCTTACCTGTAATTGAACTTTCTTAAGTGGTCATCTCTGTTGTTGCATAACATGCTCTCCTCCGCCACTGCTGGATCCTCTCTTATCTTGCTACTTTGAGGGAGCTGAATACAGGATTCTGAACTGAGTAGGGAAGATGCTAACCTCTTTTCTTGAGCCGTGAGCAGAGAGGCAAAACTCACCCTCAGTGGAAAGGATTGGAGTGCCAATTTCTTGGCTACAGTTCCAGAACTTTCCAGATTTGATTCTGTATAGGTGCAGAACCCATATACATGTGACCATACAGATGACCACACAAAGGAACCAGTATCAACTGCTCAATATATTTTGTTTAAAGAAATGTATCTAAGGAATTTTTAAAAAATTATGTAAAAAAGAGAAAAAAGCAACTAAATAATATTTTAAAAAAGAAAGAAAAAGATATACTTGAAGACAAGATAAAAATATAACAGCTGTGGTGACAGATCTACATGTAAGTTTCTATAAATGGTTTCCGAATATCTAAAAATAAGTCCATACGCAGTTGCCATATATATGCCATGTGTTCAAATACAGATACAGTTCTACGGTCCTCAATCCATTGATTTACCGGAGGTGGGCTTTTATCTTCCCAGCTGTGGTAAGAACATGGACGGTCATTTTCATTGACCATCAGTTAGCCTCCAAGAGACAGGCAGATAGTTTAAAAGTACGCAAGAATCCTCAAAAGTCAGTAAACATTCTAATACAAAATTGATATCAATAATAACTTCTTCCCGGAAAAGCTGAATGACTTAACCGGAAGTCTGAATGTATCTAAGGAAACAACAATGCACTAATGTTATCCTTACCTATGAAATTTTCACAGTTGATTTGGAGCATCTGCGGACAGTCAAGGCCGATCGGCACCATCGCTTCTGTCAGGAAAATCACTGCAGCAGCCATTTTGTGTCGGCCAAGACAGGTGATTCTGTAAGTAAATACGAATAATGTTAAGTACTTTCTACATTTACAGCATCAGTCTCCAGAGCAGAGTGAAAAGAAGTTGACTCGGTTCTCACAGGTGCTTTAAGCCGAGCCGACAAGCCGACCGGGAGGAAGAAGATCAACAAAGACCTCCACAGGGTGCCAGTAGGGCAGTCCCCATCCCCAGTACATGTGGCCATAGGTAGGGATAATCGATTAACTGTAAGCCGCTCAGAGACCCCCTGGGGGTTCGAGCGGAGTAGAAAGTCGAAAGATAAATAAATAAATAAATAAATAAATAAATAAAAACATGATGTTTTTCAAAAGTTCTGTGGGGTTTTTGTGTATGTCTTTAAAAAGCAGTTCTAATGTGTGTGTTATGCTGGATATCATTGTATGCAAGAGTGTCTTTTTTGCATTTTGCATTTAATGCTCTAGAATCCCATAAGGAGCCCAGAATAAGAGCAATTCTTTCGCATCTCAATTCAGTTGTTTAAGAACAGGGGTCCCCAACCTTTTTGAGCCTGCGGGCACCGTTGGAATTTTGACGCAGGGTGATGGGCACAGCCAGAACGGATGCCACAAAATAGCTGCTCCAGGGGTAGAGCCAGCCACAAAGTGGCTGCCAGAGCTTACGTCAGTCACCCTGGAGATCCACGTGCTGTGTTGGTGGCAGCTGCGGCCAAAGCAATATTTTGAAAAATCTGCATAGCCAATCAAGAGCCTTCCTGGGCAGACACTCCACCTACTTCCTAAAAACACTTGGTAGGCTCCAGAAGAGGTGTAGGCGGGTGCCATGGTGCCCAGCCCTGTGGTAGAATACTGCTATGGTTACTGGCATGAAATTTACCAATGGAGTTATTCAGAGATCTTTTGCACAGGTTGTATCCCCCCCTCCCCCAAATCTCACTGTTTATAGTTCAGGGAATGTTTACTGTATTTGAAGTAACTTCAGGATGTCTGTTTCTAATCACTTAAGCCTTTTTTTTTTTTTTAATAGGTCTTCCTGTGTTTTCAAAGAATTGCTGCCGACATCCTTGACATCAAATTAAACAGAGCGGAAATAGAGCAATCACAGGTGATACTCCTGAGTTTGTGGCTTTTGCCAGCTGATTTATTTACTTTAAAGCTGTCAATTAATAATCTGTTTTACTGCAAGGTGTGGCAGCTTTGGGCTGTGTATTGTTTTCATACCAAAGCAAAATGTTACACTCTTTGCAGTCATAAAATTAAGCTTGCTTTTAGCTTTAACCTTCCCCCCCCCAAAAAAAAAGGTTCTTGCACATCCATAGGTGCCTAGCGCTCCCTGGTACATTTGGAGCCCTCTGTGCTTTTTTGGTTGAATCAGCAGTGGCTCCCTGGGCCATGTCTGAAGCTGCTGATGCAAAACTCCCTGAGGTTCTGTCCCCTTCACCAGGGAGCTGGTGAGGATTTTTGCACTTTGCTGGCAGAACAGTATTTTGGACCTGTCAACAGGTAAGTTGGTGAATGCCTGTGCAATAGAAGAGAAGCGTTGCAGGCCCCCCCTCCCCCTGGTCACAGAGGTCCCTGCTATCGGAGAGCTCCCAAGTGCCATGGCTGGGGAGAGGTTTGTCCTCCCCCTCGACAGTGCCTCTGAGTGCCCTGCTTCCCTTAGTGCTCTTGCATACTGTCCCTCATATGCGTTGCGTCGAAGCAAGCAAGAGCCTTTCTGCCTTCATGGCTTCTGTGCAGTCCCGCACAGTTCTGTGCATGCGCAAGCCTGCCGTGGAGAAAATCGTACAAGCTTCTAGCGCTTTCTCACTGCAAAGGGCATTCCCCCCCCCCCGCCATCCAGAGTGGAAGTTTCCCACCCAATGATTGGGAGAGGGGAGCAATCTTCCCTCAGGCTTCTCTTTGCTGCTGCTTGGAGAGGACCTGTTCTTCTAGAAGTCCTGCTGTCATGAGTTGAATTTCAAAATATCATCCTGTCTTCTTCTTTCCTTGCCTTCTCCTGAACTGTAGAGGATGGCTCTGTTTAAAAAGGGGCATAGACTGTGGCACAAAAATGGCCCAGTCTGATGAAAACGCTGTCTGAGGCTTGCAAATCATTTGTTAATCTCCTGCCGTACAATACATGAAACACGGGTTCAGTAACCTTGCTGTTGTATACAAGATAGGATTTAAACCAGGATTTTCCTTAGTCGTTTTCTTAACTGCTGAAGGTAGCCTATTGCACTGAAATCGTGTCTGCTGTGCGGAGATAACACTGTTTACTGTTGCTCTTCTGCAAAGATCTTCGTAGGATCGAGCTTCTGATGACACCATGAGGCTGGGAAGCCTCTGAATTATGGCTCCTGCCTCCCTGATAAGAGAATATGATTTTGGTCAGTAGGAACTCAAATGGAGAACGTGAGCAGCTCATAAATTTAGACCCCCTGCGCCAGCCATCTGTGTCCATTACCACTTTTTTGTTTTTAATATGAACTGAGGTTATCTTCAATTGTATATATTTATATAGCAAGCGGACCTGTAAAAGGTTCTGTGTTTTTCTTTAAAAGAAAATTAAGACATGATCCAGACCAGCCCCTCTGGTTTCACGGGGGCGCAATTAAAGTCAGTGGGATTTAAGCACTTGGGCTGGATCATACCTCCGGTGTGTTTTCATTTTGCTCATTCGTATATTTTAAAGTATAAGAAAGGGGGGAAAATGTTCATGAACGTCTTAAAAATATTAGCTGTATATCCAAAGTGCCTTAAAACATTTACATGTTGCACACATGGAGAACACCATTTGCCAAGGGTAGTGTAACGTAAGGCTGATTCAGCTGGCAATAGAAATATGTGTGTGCTTAAATTAATGAGCAGTTTATATAGATATGAGGCCTGAGCCAGCCGAAATTAAGCACTTGGATTTCAGCTGGGGAGATGGTTAACTCATTTTCCCATTAAGATTGATTCAAGTGGGTCGCTGTGTCGGTCTGAAGCAGTAGAACAACATTTGAGTCCTGTGGCACCTTTAAGACCAACAAAGTTTAATTCTGGGTATCAGCTTTTGTGTTCATGAACACAAAAGCTCATATCTTGAATAATCCTTTGTTGGTCTTAAAGGTGCCACGGGATTCACACTTTATTCTAATTTTCCCATAAAAATACATTAGATTTCAGTGCTTAGCTTTGGTTTGGTTTGTTGGTGCACTCAATCTGTTTGTCTGCTTTGAGAAAAGTCCACTTTTTCAAAAGCTTAGGAGAAGGAAAAGGAGATTGTAAGCCACTCTGAGACTCCAAGTGAAGGGCGGGGTATAAATCCAATCTCCTCCTCTTCTTCTTCTTCTAGAAAGCAAAACATTTCTAGACCCCAGCTGAGGGCTTTTTCTGGGGAATTACTCTGGACTTCAGAAACAAAAAATTGGGTCTGTGTGCACCAAGTGGCTGTATTTCAAGCAGCTGTGTGTGGTATGGATGAATTATTGCAGTTCCTTGCCACAGTTTAATTATACATAGTTTTCTAAAATGCTTAGAACAAAGCAGGGTTCAAAACAGAAATATAAAATATTTTTGGGAAAGTGTTTCCAACTGTCATACATTTTTCAGTGTGGAAAGTCTGTGACGGCCCTTCAGAGTCCTTTGACAGGGCAGAGTCCCGAACAGAGTCGCCCCCTTCTCATCCCACCGATTTCAACAGGCTACAAACAAAATTGCACTGTAAAACTTCCAAGTGTATGTGCACACGAAAGCTTCTACCCAGAATTAAACTTCGCTGGTCTTAAGGGTGCCCCCACTGGACCCTCCCTTTGTTCTGTTGCTTCCGACCGACACAGCCGCCCACCTGAGTCTATAGCAGGATATGATGCTGTCACATATATTTTTTTACCCCACATTTATATTTCTATCCCACCATTCTCCCAGTGGGACTGAAAATAGATCACAACCTTAATTTAAAAAACAGACACAGCAGTAACTTTAAAGCAGCAGAAGAATACCGATCCCTAAATACCACCAAAAGTGGTTATATAGGAGCAGCTGCCTGAATAGCTGTGCCTTTGGCTGCCTTTTAAAAGGCAGCAACAAGTAAGCCTTTTTGATATTGGCTGGGAGGCCGTTCCACCATGGGGATGCCACTAAACAGGTTCTAGGGCAGATGGTCACCGCTCTCACTTGCAGGGTGGAATGTTAAGCATGCCTCGTTCAACCTAACGAGGGTGGCTCTTGGGCGATGTACAGGATGCGTGTCTGCCCTGTGTGGTATATGGAACACGGTGGCTTTTGTGTGTTGTTCCTGTTCATTTGTGTCGCTCACTTCTCCTTTTCTGACTGTTCATCTCTCTCTCTCTCTTTTGTTTTCTCCCCCCCCCCACTGACCTCCTTGCTGTTGGTCTTCTGTTTGGCACGTGGCTGCAGCACGTTGTCAGGGCAGGACTAGTGAAGTATCCTGAAGATGATAACGAACTGGCCGACAGCTCCAGCTGTCAGAGTCAAATCTGTTCAGTGCAGTAGGTCAGGCGGTACAGTAAAACAATTTGACGTTACTATTTTGTGTATATGAAATAGTAACTAATGTGGTATTATATGTCCTTTAGATTTGTACTTTTGCAAGGGATAGAGCGTAATGCAATCATTTCAGGGCAGGCAACCATCAGAGTGCTCCGTTTGGCTCCCCCCCCCCCCCCCTATAGTGTATTAGGCCTTTCTTCTGGTGTCCCTGCACTACAAGTAACATCTGGATCAGAACGTGCTCTCGATATTTTATCAGCACAGAATTTTGGCAAAATATCACAGCTTATTTATTTATTTATTTATTTATTTATTTATTTAATCCGATTTCTATCCCGCCTTGCCTGACAAGCAGGCTCAAGGCGGCGTACAATAAAAATTTACAATAAAAACAGATAAAATTCTAACAATAAACTATAAAGTGCAGATTGAATACAAACAGTAACGTGCAGATGGCGATCGTTGAAGTTGTTCCCGTATGACTAGACCAGTATCCCAAAGAAAGTGCCAATAATAGATGTTCAGTAGCTCGTTCAGTGGCAGCTCCTAATCAAAAGCCTCATGGAAGAGCTTGGTTTTACAGGCCCTGCAGAACTGTAGAAGGTCCCGCAGGGCCCTGATGTCCTCCGGGAGCTCGTTCCACCAGTATGGAGCTGCCACTGAGAAGGCCCTAGATCTGGTGATAGTCAGTCTGGCATCCTTGGGGCCAGGGACAGTCAGGCGGTCTTGAGTCCCCGACCTCAGTGATCTCTGGGGAACATGTGGGGAAAGGCGGTCCCTCAGGTAGGCAGGCCCCCGGCCCTATAGGGCTTTAAAGGTCAAAACCAGCACCTTGAAGCGCATCCGGTCTGCTATTGACAGCCAGTGCAGCTCCCTCAGGACAGGTCGGATGTGCTCTTGAACAGAGAAGCCCATCAGCAGCCTGGCTGCTGTATTCTGCACTTGTTTGTTCCTGGGACAGATTGATGTGTCAGCAGGTGCTAGGCCACCGTGAACAGCTGGGATAGTTGTGGTGAACTAGCTGATGCTCTAGTAGCAGAGAAGGAACGTTTCTTTGCTGACATCGCTGCTGCTCCGTAGGTCTTCCAGTGGGCTCTGTAGCATAAGGTGTCAGATTCAGTCTGGGTTTCCCACCAGTGATATTCTAGATCTCTCCTGGCCCTTTTCAGTCTACCCAGTTCTGTGGTAAACCAGCGAGCCGGTCTTCACCTCAAGGGCAGGAGTGGTCAGCGAGGGGCAACCTCATCGACAGCTTCAAGGAGCTTCATGTTCCCTTAGCGATCAGAGCCTCTGGCACCAGCCTCTGCTTGGGCTGTTTGGAAGGCTCTCCAAGCGTTGCACCATTTTCTAGCATCAAATTCGACTAAACTGAAAAAAACCCAACTCATTCTTTCATGAGAAGTGTTGCCTGCTATTAAAAGGTAGGTGACGCTGAAGCAAAATGGGGAGGACTTTCAGAAAAATTTCTTCCCCCTGTAAAACCACCTCTCTTCTTTTTGCTGGTGTGTGAGAGGCTGTGCTGCAAGATCTTTTCACTCGGGTCCAAGGGGGAAACCAGTAAAGTGTTCCCTTATTCTGACGTTCCCAGGCCATCTCTCGCTCCCCCTGTCCAGTCGCCCCTGTTTGACTAAGTGGGGCATGGTGTGGCTGGGGAGCCTCCTCTGAGGGCACGTTGGAATAGGCTTCCTCGTCCGCATTTTGCTCCAGCTGAACTAGCCAGGCAGCACTTGCATTTAGCAAAACCGAGACTGGGAGAAACGTGTGCCCCGCAGCCGGCAGCAAAACTGTTGGTGCCGCATGGCAAAGCAGGTTGGCAACAGAGGCACGTTCCCTCCCTCCCTCTTCCGTTTGAAGTGTGGACCACAGAATGAATTTCGCCTCAGCAATGCAGTCAGGGAGCCAGTTCAGGCCGCTTGCTGTGTGGGGTTGTCTTGTTTGCTATTTGATTGCTGGTTGATTCAGAGTTGAAAGAGGAAGAAACAGTGTTGAAATAGGAGCACTCATGGGACCGTGAACATGTGCAAAAGAAAAAAGAAAAAGGTGATTAGGGGTGGTATTTTAAAAAGGGTGTTTTTTACCCCTCAGGCCCCACTCTTTGCAGCAGAAATTTCAAAATTTGAGCACACGGCTGTGAAGAAGCCAACGGAACTTGTTACAAGAACACTTTCCCCCTTATTTGGAATCAAGGAATTTTTTTAGAATTAGTATCAGGACATACCATAATCTTTATGCATGATTTCCAGGAAAAGAGGACGGCCTCATGCGCACCTTCTGACTAGCTCTTTCTTTTGAATGCTCCATATTTCATAGCCAGGTCTCTGTCTTCCAGGGTGAGCCATTAACATATGAAATGTTTTACCAGCACTTTGGAAAGACGTTTCCTTTTGGATTCTCTCACTATAACCTAGTCTCTCTCTCTCTCTCTTTTTATGACAGAGGGTGGTGAAGGCAGATATTGTAAACTACAGCCAGGAGCCCGTGTCGAGAAAAGTTAACTCTCCTAGAAGCTCGATGTGTACAATTCAATGAATGTTTTCTCCTCTCTCTCTCTTTTTTTTGTTATTTATCTCCTTCAGTGGCTCTACTGCCTATGCAAAGGCATGTTGTTTTAACCGTGAACATTTCTCTTGGGCAGTTAGAGATTCCGACCAGTTACTACCCCTTTGTGCATCGACCAACAGCGGGCAGTTTCCTTGGCTAGCCAAGGCTTGGATGTTTGGGACCACACACTTTGTAGAAAATAAGATAGAGGTCTAGATATCTATATTCTTGTGAACTATATATTTCCGTAAACCAGTGTAACTATGTAAACAGATGTCCTTTTACAGATCTTGTTAGAATATTTCAGGGGGGGAAAGTATAAATTATATGACATGAAAGGCGATGCTTGAAAATAAACCAGTCCAGTTAAAATATTGTTTGTTTTCATGCCTGATATTTTTTTTTTTGGGGGGGGGGGTTGTTCTTGCTTTTTATTCAAATCAGTTTGAGTCTAGTGGCACCTTTAAGACCAACAAAGTTTACTTGGTTGGTCTTGAAGGTGCCACTGGACTCAAACTTAGTTCTGTTGCTTCAGACCAACACGGCGACCCACCTGGATCTATTGAAATTCACGTAATTTATTTATGTGCTTCACTTCCAATCTGCCTTTCTCCCTGAAACTCAACAACACACTGAAGAGGGCAAAATAGTGAGAGCCCGGGTAGTACAGAGATTAAAGCATTAGACCAGGACTGGGGAGACTCTGGTCCAAAGCCTCACAGCTGACCTTGTGCCAATCACTCTCATCCAGCCTATCCCATGGGGTTAGTCTCCGGATACAATGGAGAAGAGGAAGCTTGAGCCGAGTCACCGTCTGGCCTGGAGCGTGGAGGAGGGAGTGTGAGCACTTGTGTGAGGCGGGGGGGGGGGGGGGGGCTCAGGGGGGCGGGTCTCAAGCAAGGCACAATACTTCAAGAGTCATGAACACAGCTGTATTGACAAGGTTGCTCTCACAGTGCTCTCCCATGCAGAGGAGTCACTTCACTCCCTGTGCCAGCTACCTGGTGCCCTCTCACTGCCCCGTGTGTCCTGCCTTTGCCTCCACCTCCCCAACAGTTGTAGTCATCCAGGACACCAAGGGAGTGCCCCCTCGCTTCCTCTCCAGCGCTGCCCATACCAGCTGAAGGGCATGCCTTTCCCTGCTCAGGGCCATGGCCATGCCCACCAGCCAGCTGTGGGTTTAGCTTTTGAACTGCCACTGTTGCCATGCCCTCACCCCATCGGCAGGCCCTGTAGGCATATTTGTCTGCCAACTGACGCTCCTTAGAGGACGATGCCATAAAAATGGGCTAGAATTGCAAACTCTCTATAGCTTGGCTAACAGAATCTGTTCTCCCCCAAATTTAGGGATCTTCCAGCTGTATATCTTTATCAACTTATAGCTCCAAATTTGCGCAGAGCCATCTCCTTGGCCAGATTTAATGTTCTTCCTTCTGCTCTTCTCTGGCAGATTCCAGGGGATCCCCTATTCCAGCAGGTGCTGTCCTTGTAGGAAGGACTGTGTTGAAACCGTCCCCCATGTTCTCCTTCAGTGTTCCTTTTATTTGGTGCCCCGCCAGGATCTTTTGTATCCTATATTACCTTAGTTCCCAGAGATTCCTGATGATTTTAAGGTTCTGTTTTTAGTTGATACTCCAGATGCGGAAATAACAGAAATAGTAGCAAGGTTTCTTCTTAGCACTATGGCGATACGTTCTGATAAGTAACCACTAGGTTTTTCTATTTTTATGCTGTTTTCCTGCGCCGTAGCTCCAATTTTACCCTATATTGATTTGTATTTTCCGATCTATATTTAACCTGATCTCCTATTGTATGCATATACATCTCCCTTATATATAAAAGCCGAATGGTGGTGGCATTTCTCTAGAACATTCCACATGCTCTGTAATTGGTTGGCGCCCTGGTGTGTCACTCAGAATCTGTCCCTATCCACTGGCTGCATTGCTTGAGTCTCGCCTCCAACATTCTAAACAGTTTGCTGTTCCTCCCCCCCCCATAGCCAGTCAGAACACAGAGGTTATTTGCATATGCAGCCTTATTGGCCTTTGCCTCGGAACACAGAGGTCGTTTGCATATGCGACTTGATTGGCTTTTGCCTCTAACATTCTAAACAGTTTGCTGTTCTGAGGTAAAATATGTCCAATCTCCAGGTGAGAGCGGGAGATCACTCAGAATTACAACTGCTTTCTAGATGGCAGAGATCAGTTCCCCTGGAGAAAATCGTGGGCTCTGTATCCTTATATGCTGCTGAGGTGGCCCCTGTATGACAGCCAATGTCACGTAGCAGTCAGGGTTTCAGAGCACGGGAGAGGCTGCAGGTGTGTGGGGGGTGGAAAGCTGAAGAGTGAGGGGGATATAAAGGTAGGTTGATGATTGGCTGGGAAGGAGATAGGGTTGCCAACTCCAGGTGGGAAATTCCTGGAGATGTGAGGGATGGAGCCTGGAGAGGGTGAGGTTTCAGGAGGCGTGGGAACTCGGACAGGTACAAAGCCATAGACTCCACCCTCCAAACCAACTATTCCCTTCTGGGGAACCATTGTTGCCAGTCTCCAGGTGAGGGCTGGAGATCACTCAAAATTACAACTGTTCTTTAGGTAGCAGAGATCAGTTCCTCTGGAGAAAATGGTGGACTCAGTGTCATTATACCCTGCTGAGGTCGCCACAGCAAATTGACACTGAGTGTCCAAGGCCGGGGCACCCGTCCAGAGCCTCTTTCTAGAGGCCGTTGTATTTATTTCCACAATGAACCTTTTTCCTAGTATGCCAATAAAGGCTTGTTAAAGTCAAAAATGTGCTACAAGCTTTGGCATAGCCAGAGTTAGTCTTTGACTCTGTGGAACCACAGAGGGAAGAAAAGGATGGCCATAAGACACAGTACTGAAGTCCGGAAACCTAGAGTTGCTCCTCGACTTTGTAAATCTTTTAAAGTGGATTTATGTTTGGGGACAGTCCACCGTGCAATTGCCTGCTTCTGAGGAGCCCAGTGAGGCTGCCCCGAGAGTGCCAGGCAGCCTTCTGTGGCCTCTTCTGCTTGCTGCCTCCCCCCTGGGCAGTGGGAGCTCTGGGAGACTGCCCCTGGCCACCATTAGCTGAGCAGAGGAGGGGAGGCAATGCTAGCCGGGGGCACCTGGTCTGTGAGAGGAGCACGGGAGAGGGAACTGTGGCAAATGGGGACCCCTGGGAGAAGGCAGGAGGCACAGCAGGCCAAAAGCAGCCCTGGGAAAGGCAGTTTGGGCCTCAGCCTTAAGGAGGAAGGCCTAGGAGAGGCTTCCAAGGACTTGGAGGGGAAATGGCAGGCTGGGGAGGGCAGCGGGACGACAGCCCATTAGCCGGGAGGCCAGGCACTGAAGAAGTTTGGGAAGCATTGGAGGGAACCCAGGGAAGTCCTGCCCCAGGTGCTCCTTTATAAGGCCTACCTGGAGATCGCCAAGGAGGAAGGAGGCTGGGTCTTGTCCTCAAAGCCAGAGGGCAGACAGGCTGGATGGAAAAGAAACCAGAGTGAGGCATCTCTCACAGGTGTGAGAAGCCCGAAGGTGCCCCCCCCCCACTCCAGCCTGTGACCTCTGGAGCCTGACAAATTGAAGGGCACTCATCACAAACAAAATATGTTTTCCCCGAAACAAAGCTGGTGTTGGGTTTCAAACACCATGTGCCAGTTAAATGTCAGGTGTGTTTTCAACCCCCCCGCCTCACAAATTCTCTTCCCATGCAGAATACCTTTTACAATCTGCTTTCTAGTTATTGTAAGCATCTGTGTTTAATTTACAGACCTTCTACTCAAAGATGAGAAAGCAAAAGCCCTGAAGTTTCCAAGATCGGATCCCTGTTTTTGAGCTTGCCGTAGCAAGCGGCTTCTGCCTGGAGTTGGGTCTCCTGTCCCATTTTACATTTGTTCTCATCCAGGGGTCATTTCGTAGAAAAAGAGGTGCAGGAGCTCATTAGCATTACTTATGTGCATATGCTACACCCCCTGACATCACCGGAAGTGTGTCAGAAGGCAACACCCACCACTCAGGCTCCACTGGACTGTTTTGGATTGCTAGCTATGGGGGGGGGGGGCGTGCAGATCTGACCTCACAGAGGAGGGAGCGCTTGTACCTGAAGGTGGGATGGGGGGGGGGCTCTACAACTTACCTGGCTGCTTCTTGCTCTGACTGAGGGCTGCTGAGAGCAGGGGGCGGGGCTTGTTGCATGTGCCCGCCCCCTGGGCTCCTTACTGCCAGAGCTCCGCTCCTGTGGGCTCCCGCAGGAAATGACCCCTGCTCTCATCACATTTTTTCCTAACACGATCATTTTCAATTGGTGTGGGTGCATAAAAAGTGTCATTGGAACAGTTGACTCAAAATGGTTTTAGTTTCAATAGTCTGCCAGAATCCAGACATAAGAATGTGCCAATTTGACTGTGTTTTGGACAGTGTAGAACCCCCACCCCCCACAGTGGCCTTACCCTCAATCGGATGAGTTTATCATATTGAGAGCTTCGTATTGTTGCCCTCAGCAACATAGCGCTGAACTGGATGGCCCCAGCTAGCCCAGTCTCATCAGATCTCGGAAGCTAAGCTGGGTCGGCCCCAGCTAGTATTTAGATGGGAGACCACCAAGGCACACCAGGGTCGTGACATGGAGGCAGGCCATGGCAAACCACCTCTGAATGTCTCTTGCCTTGTAAACCCTACGGGGTCACCATCAGTCAGCTGTGATGTGACGGCAGTTTCCACCAACACTAGCATAAGCCTGCCTCCTACTGAAGAGGAGCCCCATTTCTTGGCACTGTTAAATCATTTTTTAAAAAAAATAGATGAATCATTGCTTTTGGGACTTACAGCATGGTGACCCCGCAACGAAGCAACGAAGGAGAGATGAGTCAAGCCAACTGGGGTAGGCCAAATGCACGGAGAGTCGAATACCAGACCACATATTAAAGCACACCATGTCTTCATTTGTATTGTCTGGATCAATGCCCTGACATACAAACACGAGCTGGATCATCTTGGTGGGATTTGGGGAGGTATTTTGATTTCTATCTAGGAAAAAATGAAGTGCGATTTCTGGATCTACTCTTGTATTTGTCAAAAAAAAGGATGAGGTGATGCTTTAAGCCACTTAATGGAAACGTTCGAGAGAAATGTTGACCTCCCTCTTCAAAATTCATTTGCTTTTTAAAATTTCTCCGTAGCCTTGAGAGAAAGAGCAAAGCATAAACCAGCATTGGCAGAAATGGATTGCCCAGGCCACTGACGTGTAATTTGGCTCTCCTTGATAACAATGCAACAGAGGTCTTCCTTATTCATATTAATAGCCCATTTTAACATTTGTTCTTTAACAGTTTCATCTTCAGTATACCATTTTAACAACACCTT